CACAACTGATCGTCTCATCCTCATCCGATCCATTATTAAAACTTCCCAGGCATGACTTGAGAGATTGCTTCTATCAATTTCTTAAAATCATTCCTATCTTCCCATGGTTCCAACCCATCTGGGATTGAAACCAGATCTATATTATCATAATCCACTACTACAGAACTATTGCTAGTCTGTTTGTTTGAAAGTGAATTAAGGACCTTTGTGTGATTAAACTCTGTGTTCACAAAGGTTACTTTGAAACCTTGTTTGGATAGCCATTGCATGAGCTCTAGCAAGGGAATTACATGGCCTTGTGCTGGATACTTATTTATTCCCTTACTTTTGTCATTATTTATCTTATATATAATAGTTAGTAATTGATTTTTTGTATAATATAAAGTCATTAATTATTAAAATAAAATGTGAAAAACTCAGTTTATAGTGATTTAAAAATATCAAATATATTAGATCATACTTAAAAATTTACAAAAATTGATCAATATTTATTTTTAACCCAATAAATATGATCATGGAAAAAAAAATATGCGAATCGATAAGTTTTTTTCAAATTGTGCGAAAAATAAAAAAATTCAGGGTTCCGGTTACCGCAACCGTTACACTACGGCCTTTACACCCTGCAACCGTAACCGCGCCACCGCCACCGTTACGGCGACCGCAACCGCTTTTCAGAACATTGCTTCCCAGGCATGACTTGAGAGATTGCTTCTATCAATTTCTTAAAATCATTCCTATCTTCCCATGTTTCCAACCCATCTGGGATTGAAACCAGATCTATATTATCATCATCCACTACTACAGAACTATTGCTAGTCTGTTTGTTTGAAAGTGAATTAAGGACCTTTGTGTGATTAAACTCTGTGTTCACAAAGGTTACTTTGAAACCTTGTTTGGATAGCCATTGCATGAGCTCTAGCAAGGGAATTACATGGCCTTCTGCTGGATAAGGTATGGCTAGAATATGTGGTTTCATGCCCATCTTCATACTTGTTCTTTACCCACTCAAATGTTTAGAAGTACTGCTATTATAGGAAGCCATTGAGCAGTGGCGGAGCCAGGATTTTGGCGGAGAAGGGGCACCATTGAATTGAAATCTTAACAAAAATCATAATTTAACTAAATTTTTATTTGATGGTAGGATTAAAAATTAGTGAGATGCAAAAGTTATATTTAAATATATGGTCAAGTTAACTAATCATTATCTTTATTTTATATATGATGATCATCATGATTTAAAAAATAATTACATATACCCTCATGAAATATGAGAACAAGATTATATTAAGAAACACACACATAAAGAGATATAGTGAGGATAGAGAAAGAGATATAGTGAGGATAGAGAAAGAAATGAGACGAAGGTGAATAAATAATATATAGAGGCTATTATATATTACGTATTTTTTTCACTGTTTTGAATAATTGAATTACATGACAATATATTATTAGTTGTTATTAATTGTGTAATAATTATCTGTCGTATAAAATGTGATATAAAACAGTAACAAAATATCCAAGAAAGAGTTACACCTCTATATTTTTGGCCAAATAGGCTGATCTGTAATTTCTCAATAAATAAAAAAAGAAAAAAGAAAATAGACGTAAGACCTAATTTTCTCAACAATTGACAAAAATCACAAGGTAAAAATGTGTCAGTTGAGTAAAAATTGAAGGTAAAAATGTGTTTAACACCTCCATTGAAAGTGTCAGCTGAGTCATGTCAAGTAGCGTTTTTTTTTTTTTTTTTTCGGAACTAGTTGTTAAACACTGACCAGTGGGTAATGTTCTAAGGCTCTACATTTAGGAAGGCCTCCAATTTTTACAAACTAACATTTTCTTACACGGATGTTTTTACAATGCTCTTGTTGTGGTAATTTAATTGTCTAAATTTAAAGTTAAAACAAAACTATGTTATTTTAAACTATGTGGTTTAAAAGAAAATGCTATATTTTTTTTTATATCATTTTACTTTTTTAAACTATGTTATTTTAAACTATGTGGTTTAAACTATGTGAATTGTTTATTTTTTTAATATGTGTTTGTCGTACTAAAAAACACATTAAAATCATTGTGCAAAAAAGCATGGTGGAGAATTCTTTACCAATTTTTAGCAGCACTGTAGTCTAATTATTGTCCATTTTCAGTGTTAAATGCATTCAGATATTAAATTTATAGAGATAAATAAATTGATAGGTCTAATAGACAACGACTAATATTGTACATGCCACCAAAATGAATGGAAAAAACCTTAGGCTCCGTTTGGTAAGTCTCTTAAAATATAATTCTACCTATTGATTTGAGTGTGTTGTTTGTTTGAAGCTTTCAAATCATAATTCCACACCTATTTCTCAAAACTTAATTCAAAACATAATCATTACTTTTCAAATTTATAGCCAAACGCATAATTCAAAACTCTTTTCAAAACTCAACTCAAATCAATATTTTAATTTTTTAAATATTTTAAATATTTAAATATTTTAAAAATATTTTAATTTTGTTAAGATTTTAAATATTTTAATATTTAAATATGTTACAATTTTTTTAATTTTTTATTTTTTTTTTATTTTTTGAATATTTTTAAATATTACGATTTTAATTTTTTAAAATTTAAAATATTTTATAAAAATAAATTCAAACTCTATTTTATAAAAATATTTTTAAATATTTTAATTTTGTTGTTATGTATTTGATTACGATTTGAGTGTAGAGTTGTGAAAGTAGTATGGAGTTTCGAGTTATGTGTTTGGTTATGAGTTTTAAAAATAATTTCTTAATTGAATTTTGTTTTATGTGTTTGATTACGATTTGAGTGTAGAATTGTTTTGAAATTTAAAATATTTACATTTAAAATTATTTAAATTTTTACGATTTAAATTTTTTGAACATTTATTTTAATTTTTTACTTATTAATTTTTTTAGATTATTTAAATTATTTAAATATTTATGATTTAAATTTTTTGAATATTTATTTTGAAAAAAAATTATTTCCTTTGTAGTATTTTCAATTAAAAAATTGATTAATGTTATTTTCTGTTAATAATAATTTTTTTAATTGAATTTTAAAAAGAGTTTGGTTATGAATGTTAATCAGAATATTTAATAGTGTGAAAGTAGTATGTTTTGTTATTAGTTATAATAATTTGAATTAAGTTTTGAAAACTCTTTCTAAAACTCATAACCAAACAAATTTTCTTACGTCATATGTCAAATCAAACTTTCAAAACTTAATTCTACACTTAATTCAACACTCTATTGAAAAATCATAACCAAATAAATTTTTTACACTCAAATCATAATTCCACAACTCACAAACTCAAAATACAACTTATACTTTCAAATCATATTTACAAAACTCTACCAAACGCAAGCTTAGAGCTTCTGCTCTTGATGTAAGCCACTCACCATGTCTAACATATGATATATTGTAATGTATTGAATTTTTACTCAAAAAGATAAATTTTTTTTAACATGAAATTATTGTCCTAAAAGGCATATTTATTAGTAACTTTTAAAAAAATTGTCGCTAATTTTTTTCTTGTTTTGTAGAGACAATCATTTCATGACAACTAGAATTGGTCTCTTAATTTTTTTTGTTAGAAACAAATTTTTTATTTTTTAAACCAAAAAGTTGTAATATCAAGTAGTCAAAAACACACTACCAAATTATAAAACAAATTATTAGGTACTATATCTTTCTCTATCCTAGAAAACGAAACCAATTTCAGTCCAAGGAAATAAAACGTGAGCAACTGTGCCAGTGCCACTATATCGTTGATTTTTATAAGGAAATAAAGAGAACCAAATCAAACCAAGTTAAATCAATCACACCCCAGTCAATTAGGGGACTTGTTGTTTTTAGATGGATTTTTCAATTAGACTATGTTGTTGGGTCGTGAGAGCAGCCCATTACAGGACTCATCTCGATTGTTCATCTTAATAATTTAAATAGTTCATTTTATATTTAAAAAATCAGATCAATTTAATTATTTTAGCCATATAATTAAATCACATTTGTATTTGAAATAATAAATAATTTATTCTCAAGATTATTCTTACTGTGCATTTTAAAAATTAAATAAGAACCAGTCATATAGTTACAAAGTTTTAATTAATTTAATTTTTTCATAAATAATTACTTTAATTTTTTCATAAATAATTACAATGAATCATTTAAATTATCCAATTAGAAACCACAACATGAGAAACCACTTCCAGCCAGGATTAAGGAATGAACTAACTATCCCCTAGACATTTCTTTTTTACTTAAAAATGACTCTATTCTAGGATATGTTGTCGTCACCCATGATGTCATTAATTATAATTACCTGTGTTGACATCAATGTTATAATTAGACTCATCATGTTTGTGTGTTCAATTTGCAAGAATACTTGAAATTTTTAAATATTACTCTTGAATTTATTTCAACATATTAGATATTTTGATTTGTTTAGAAATTTATTAATTTTGACTCAACACTCTGCCACGTGGTGTGAATAAATTTAAAAATAATATTTTACAAATTTTTTGTTTTATTTTTTGTCCAAATAAATATGACTACTACCCTATTCTAAACATAGCAAATGCTCCCGATCCTAAGTGTAATTTAACAAAACTTGGGATACAAAAAATAATTGAAAAAACAATCTGGCATCAAAGAAACAAAGAAACAATATACCTAATTTACATTTACACCATACATAATTTCTGAATACTTTCTTGGTATTTTTTGTTTGGTACAAAGTCTTATTCACGTTATAATAAATAAATAAATAAAAAGTTTTATTCAAAAATAAGATAAGAGAATCAATAAGCATTAATACAGCACAATTATTCTACATACTTAGATTTTTTACTCAAAAATATAAAATGTGTGAATTAGATTTATTCTATACATTAATACCATACTGCATCAATAAAATCTCAAACATACTATTTATGGGGATGATAATTTTCCTTACAAATATTATGGATAAATAAGAGTTTTCCAAATAACAACATTGTTACCAACTTTCTATGAATTCTTCAACCATTCAACAAAATTGTTGAAATTCTTGTAAGAGCTTCCTCCTTCACCAACATTTCTCATCGTGGATTCCTTAAGCTCGAAAGCTCTTCCTCTAAATCCATCATCTCCAATCACTTCATCTACCTTGTTCTCAATTTCTCCTTTTCTCACAATTCCACTCTCATCCCTCTCCAACCCCAACCCCACCTTCCAAACATCACAAATGTAACTCTGGTTAATGAATTGGTCCGCAAAGTAAGGCCAACACAAGAAAGGAACTCCGTTGCTCACCCCTTCCATGACAGAGTTCCAACCGCAATGACTCACAAAACACCCCACGGACGGGTGACTCAGCACCTTCTGCTGTGGGGCCCACCCCACCACCCGCTTACGGGTCCCCACTCTTTCTAAAAACCCATCTGGGTAATTAAAATTGGTTCCATTCGTAACAGATTCTGCTCGAACCACCCACAGAAACGGCCTGAGGGTGAATTCGAGCCCCAACGCCAGTTCTTCGAATTGGGTTGGGTTGAAAACTGCGAAGCTACCAAATGCAACGTAGATTACGGAGTTTGGTTGTTGTTGATCGAGCCACTTTAGGCAGGTTGGGTCTTCGGGCCAGATGTGTCCAGCTGAGTTCCCGAGGCGATTGCGGGCCAGAAGTGGGCCGATGGGTAGGATTTGTGGAGCCAAGGCGAATGCGCCGGGCTCAAGGTTGAGGGTGGAGTTGCAGATGAGCCAGTCTGCTGATTTCACTGCTTTGTTGTTTTTTTCCATCACTTGGAATATGATTTTCTGCATTGTTGAGCTGCCCATTCGGGTCCAGATGAGGTTGGTTGAGTTCATGACTGGCATGGAGGGAGATAGCTGAAACGTCTGGTTCTCTGTTGGGATTCCTGCAGTGGAAAATCAAGGCTACAGTCATAGTGGTTTTCATTTTCATTTTCATTTTCAATTTTTTTTTTTTTTTTTTTTTTTTTTTTTTTTTTTTTTTGAACTTGTGAGTTTTTAGGTGAGTAAATAAATGATTGTGTTGAAAATTTTGTATGAAGTAACCATGTCTGCATCAGAATTCTTTGGATTGTTGAGTCTATTGTGAAAATTTAAAAGTTAAAAAAAATAAAAAATAAATAACCCCTGCATTTTCATGTTATTTTTTTCTTTTTCTTTTTCTTAAGATGAAAAATGTGCAATTCTCATATGGTGTGAACTCACCTTATGTGAGAGGTGTTTGATTCTATAATCAAATTTTGTATTGTTGAACTTTTTCAAATATTGGTGACAAAGGATCAATATAAGAAAATACTGTGTCCGGATCTCTCTGGTCCCTTGTCCTAATGCCAATCTCCACCACATGATAGCTTAGAATAAGGAGACAGGAGAGGATCTAGGCAAAAGATACAACCTCCAAATGATCTTACCATCTTGATCAATTAGTCCGTCATCAATCAGCTTCGGGATGCTAAATCCCAAGACTAGCAAGGCGGCTGCAGCAGGCAAGAACGCTGCTTGCTTGATTCCCACCTTCTTCCCAACCTCCATGGCCCAACCGAGGCTCTGATCAGCAACAATGCAACTGATCTTCTCACCCTCTTCTTCCGACCCATTAATCTCTCGTATTAGCTCCTCAACTTTCCTGGGCATGACAGTCATGATCGCCTCAGACAACTTCCCTGCCACATTCCTCTCCCATGTTTCCAATCCATCAGAAATCGAAACCAAATGAATATGATCCCCCAAAACATCATCATCTGCGAGGGCATTCACAACGCGCTTGTGAGTAGTTTCAGTGTTCACAAATGTGATTTTGAATCCATGTTTGGCTAGGCATTGAGCAAGCTCCATGAGGGGAATCACATGGCCTTGTGCTGGATAAGGTAGAATCAGAAGATGTGGATTGTTGCCCATTCTTGTTCTTTGTCTACTTTGCAAATTCAACCAATATGGCAATATTTATGTGTAAGGTGAGTCTTATTTGTAGCATGGGCATTGATTTAGACCCCCTTAAAACACCTACCCCACAATCCCCTCATACACATGGAGATTGGGGATTGGGTGTGAACCAAAAAAAAAAAAAAGGAAAAATTGACCAATCAGGACTAAAGGGGGTCAAGGGGTGACCCCCCAAAGGGGGTCTCAACCTTTATTCTTTGTAGCATTTTGAGCATGTTTGAAGTGGCAAAGCTAATGTTGTTGTGTTGTCTGTTAGCTTTTGAGGCTTATTTGAGTTTCAAATTGAGGAATCTACTACTCTTCTTCTTTGTCCTTTGATGAAATCACTTGATGTTGCCCAAAAATAAAAAGAACTAAGAATGTAAATTATCATCCTCGTTGTGTTGTCAATTATTATCATAGATTTTGTAATTGTATTGATTATTAATGTTAAAGGATTGTGCTTCAATATGATATTTAATAGATAAGGTCCCAAATCTTGTGCAGGTTGATATGGACATTGTAAATAATAACAACAATGATTCATCCCCCTTTTCCCCCCACCCCCTTTGACCCCCTCTCTCTCTCATTGGTTACCTTTTCTTTTTCTTTTTCTTTTTTTTTCCTGCTCCTCCAATCACCACCCGCCACGTGGCAAAGGGGGGGTGAGGGGGTGACCCCCAAAAGGGGGTCCCAAGCATTATTCAAATAATAATCTGAAGCACAATTAGTCTAGCCGAGATTAAAAAAGATCAATGGATCCCTGTTTGGTTGTGTTTTTATTTTTTGTTTAATGTTTTAATTTTTCAAAAAAATACATAAAAATTGTTAGCAAACTTAAAAGTATTTTTAAAACCATTTATTTTTTTTAAATTTTTTAAAACAACCCAGAAACACAAAAAAAGTTATTTTTTGAGAGATGAAGGGAGATCAAGATCAAGAGCAAAAACTCTAAGAAGAAAATGTTGACAAAGGAATATGAATTATAATCCTTCTTGTTGTGTTCTCAATTATTATCATAAATTTTGTTGCTGTCTTGATTATTAATGTTTGGAGTGGAGAGAGTGTGGTCCAATATTAGGACATTTAATAAATAAATAAGATCCTCAATCTTGTACAATATGCAGGTTGACATGGACATTTCAATAATAATAATAATAATAATTTGAATCAGAAATAATACTCTTAGGTGAGATTAAAAGATTTGGATGAAATATTGATAGCAGGTCACCTAGTGTTTGGCATGGAGCTAATAGCCATTGGGGGACTAATATATAAATTGTCAAAAATAACATCATTTTAAACTTTAACTTTAAATCTCAAATTTTTTTATTATTTTATTTTATTTTTTTGGACATTGCGCGTGATTGCACCATACGGAGTACACGACAAAGAATCCAAATTCGAAATGAAATGTATTCACGAGTGAAAGCCTTTTGCTATTGCATTTTTTCAAAATTTCCATTTCCTTTTGTATGGAAAAGGTATTTTCGGAAAAAAATAAACATCAGATTTTACAGCTGTCTATAAAACTTCTTAAATTCTCATGTAAACATCTGGTTTACACTTAATCAAAAGATCACAAAATCAAACAATGATATACTGTTTCTTTTGAGTCCTCAATCGAACCACTTATATCAATAGTGGGACAGTTTAGCTTGTTTGGTTACTCAGAAATCTATGGTGGGAAGGTTGAAGGTTACTGGAGGGACATATTTTTTGGATGGTAACATGCGGTTAAGGTGGCACCGAAGTGCCAGCGAAGGTGTCACGTGTCCTTGACTTGATGCCGAGGCAATCTCGGCTAAGTCAAGGTTATTTGCGGAGATACCGGAATCCGAAATGAGCGGATAAGTTACAAGAGTCCTAGAATAAAGGAGGATTTTAGCCTGGATAAGGATAAAACTCTTAGGGAGTTTATTTTTATTTATTTGAGAGCTCTGGATAGGCATTGAGCCAGAGTCCATTGAAGCAAGGCTTCTACAGCGATCAAGATAGTGTTGGTTATAAAAGTAAGGCACCCTCGTGGGTCCAAGAAACGCTTTTGGTATTCTGAATAGTGAGTAAAGCACTTTTACTATCTTTGAGAGATAACTGACTTGATCGTCAGAGTGCCCCTGGGTGGACGAACCACCGCCAGAGTCTTTTTCTTTCTGTGACAGGTCGTTTGGGCACAATCTATTCTGCCAGTGTTCTCCAGCTGAGTACCTATTTGGTAGTGTGGTTAGAAAACAACACACACAATTTGGCGCCGTCTGTGGGAAATAAAGGAGAATAGATGGCCAACGACAGACAGAAAGAAAAGGTTGGGGACGACATCCCTACTGGGATTGGTAAGCACATTAACCCTAACGTGGAAGAGGATAACTACAACGAAGAAACTCAGGATCAGAATCCCAGAGAGAAAGATGTCGGCAAGGAGGGTGACGTACCAAAGAAGTCAGACTGAGGCGGGTATTATAACGAGGACGACATCCAGGTATGGAAAGATAGATGCCTGCAGAGGAACGGCGAGATGAAAGGAATGACGAACAAATTGGCAGACCTGCAATCGATCGTCAATTTCATGATGCAGAACAACGTCATGTAACCACCGTTTCCGTTACAAGATATGCCGATTCCAGTGGCCAAGAACAATGCCCAGAAAGGGGGCAGAAAACAGTCCCTACAGTCCCCCAACACACCAGGACAAATGAACACTCTCACCGGCCTTCAGGAGAGGTCGGGCAAAGAGAGTCAATAAGGGGAGATTCTCGGAGGACGCATCGTACTAAGGAAGCTGACCCCAACGAACATCGTGATGTTCAAGGGAAGGAATTTTGTTTCGACACAACTAATAGAGAGAGGTCCAAAAGGACTCATAACAACACCGGGAGTAGCGCACCGAAGAGACTGAAATCCGTTGATAGCCGAGCTCTTGGACGGACCAAGGAGGATTTGAGGGATTACCTCCAGAGGAAGTGACAAGATGCCGAGGTAACCTCACCAGTCAAGCCGAGAACGCCGTTTTCGGTAGAATTGGACAAGTTCGAAGCCTCAAAGAGATTCCACATGCCGAGATTCCAGATATACGACGGGAAGTTTGACCCTAACTTTCACGTCGGTTTGTACCTGAACTCAATGGCACTATACACCGGGAATGAGCCGTTGCTCTGCAAAGTGTTCCCCTCATCCTTTGAGAAAATTGCATCCAACTGGTTTCACAAGTTGCCGAAAAGAACTATGAAAAGCTGGGAAGGCCTAGCCGAGATGTTCATGGCTAGATTTGTGACAAACAAACTACAGCCATTGAGGGTGGATGCCTTGATGGCTCTAAGAATTGGTGAGGATAAAAGCCTTAGAAAGATGTAACCAAAAGGTGGTGGTCATGTTTTTTAAGAACGACCTGAAAGATGATTGCCTGCTCCGAAAATCACTGGCAAAGACATTTCTAAAATGTATGGAGGAACTTATGGCCAGGATAGAAAAGTATGCTAGGGCCGAGGAAGACACACCGGGGACAAAGGCGTCGAAACAAGAGAATAAAAATGGCTCGCTGAAGCGAGGCTGAAGTAATAGTGGGTACAATAAGCAAGAGACAAGACTGAGGGCCACACAGGCAGTCACAACCGTATTTCGGTCTACAAAGTCTTGGAAAAAATCCAGAATCAGCCGTATTATAGAGCACTAGAGAAGCTTCCTGGTGAATTCATGGGAAGAAGTCTGGGGAAACACTGTGCCTACCACAACGAGGATGTGCACCTAACTTAAGGGTGCAGAGCCCTAAAGGCACATCTAGAAGACCTGCTAAGACAAGGTCATCTAAGGGACCTGGTAGATGAGACCAGGACAAGGAAAGAGCAAGCAAGACTGCCACAGGCACCGACAGCACCACTTCTACCAACACCACAACTGCAAGCAGGTGGGCCTCGAGTGATCAATGTGATTCACTCGAAAGTCAATGAGAACGAGATATGTGGGGAAACTCAGAAGGTAAAACACTTGCAACATGTGTATCAAGTTCGGCAGAAGAGACCTAGGGCAGACGAGTGTCAGGGACCAGTGGTATCCTTTATTGAAGACAACCTAGAGATGGTGCAGCATCTACACAACGATGCCTTGGTAATATCCCTCCAGATTGGAGAGTGCCAGATAAAACGAATTCTGATCGACCAAGGCAGCTCTTGTGACATCATGTACGTTAGGTGTTACAAGGAGCTTGGCCTTCACTAAGATGATCTGGAACAATCCAATGGTCCAATGGTCGGGTTCAATAGAACGCCGACATGGCCCCTGGGGGCAGTAAGTTTGGAGGTACAGGCTGGCACCAAGAAGGTAAAAACTGAGTTCATAATAATTGACACTCTCTCCCCTTTCAATGCTATCTTGGGAAGGCCATGACTGCATGCAATGGGGGTTGTTCCCTCAACATTGCACCAGCTATTGCGATTCCCAACAGAACATGGAATTGAGTAGGGCTGAGCAAGGAATCCGTGAAATCCGTAATCCGATCCAGTCCAGTCCAATCCGATAGGTTTGGATTGGTTTTTTGAATCCGCGGTTCGGTTCCGGATTGAAGAATTAAAAATCCGTAGTCCACGGATTGGTTCTGGATTGAACCCCACGGTTCCGGATTGGAACCGATCCGGACCGTATACAAATAGTCTATATTTTTATTATACATCCTCCCCCATAGTATCTTCTCGTATTCTATATAAAATCTAAACTCAAACCTAAAACCGTATAATATCTTATTTTATTACTTTTGTTTGTATTTTCTTATGGTTGTTTAAATTCAAGAGCCGTATGTCACTATTATAAAAAAACATGTTGCTATTATGGAACTGATATAGCGCTATGTTTATATTTTTATGAAATTAAAGTGTTATATATATATATATATATATTTGTTATTTAATTATGTGAATCCGTGGTCCTAAACCGATCCAATCCGTATTTAAATGGATTGGTTCGGATTGGTTCCATGATTTAAACGGATTGGATTGGTTCCAATTTTTCAGGAACCGTAGATAACGGATTGGTCCTGGTTTTACCCCAATCCGGTCCAATCCGGTCCATGCTCACCCCTAGAATTGAGGAGGTCAGAGGGGATCAAGTACAGGCAAAGAATTGCTCCATGGAAGTAATGAAATCCACCTGCAACATACGAGAAGCAGAAGCAGCAGAGATTGAAGATGAGGACATGGAGGTCCTTGAGGACGTTGGCAAGGAACTAGCCGAGAAAAGTGAGGAAGCCCTAAAGAAGATCTTAGTCCAGCAAGGGGATGAAGAACACTTCTTCCTCCTCGACTCAGGCTTGGCTAAGGAAGAGGAAGGGGAATTAGAGGCGTTCTTGAGAGCAAACCTTGAGGTGTTTGCCTGGACCCTGTACGAGATGCCTAGC